TGGGCCTAATTATAATCGAAGTATTTATCTTGCTAATATTATATAAGAGAATGTTTACATGGATGAATGGGTATTAGTTCAAAGGTCTTCAAAACGGCTGCATATATCTTGCTGAAATTTGACATAGATGTAGAACATAGTCTGGCAGAATAGATAGGCTACTAATTAATTTATGTTTTTAATTCTGCGCGGACAGAGTCGCGGGCGACAGCTACACATAATTATTTCTTTTGACAGCACCGTTGATTGAAATAAGGCGTTCAACCCACACCCATCTGTGGTAGATAAGCACACTAATTTAGTCGCTTTTAACTCTTATCTCAACTGCGACACACCACTTCAAGTTGCTCAAGTTAACGGTTCTCACGAGAACTGTATCTTAACTTAAGAATTACTTAAGTACGAAATTAGGTGTGTTCATTAAGTAATCATACTAATAAAAACCGAATAGAATAACGATAAAAAAATGCTATGCATAACACATATTTATCAGAGAAATCTTTCCTATAAACTTAAAGCGGGAACAAAGCCTTTAATTGTAGCATTAGATAAAATACGATAGGTGACATCATGTAAGTACTTTGTAATTTTTTGACATAATAAGTAAAGTATTTTCCATGACCTACTTGTTATTTTATTGTGAGATTTATAAAAAAAAAAATCTTTGTTACATAAACGCTATATAAGGTAACAAATGAAGGCTACAACTAAAATGTAATTCCTTACCTTAAACATTATATAGATTTATATCTTTGTATTTATTATTCTCAACATAATAACACACAACACAAAAGTATGGTTAAACAGAAATGCGTTTTTCAATTACGTTTATTTTTAAAAACATAATACTTATAGCCTGTTTCCACTAAGCGGATAGTGACGTGTCATTTTATATAGCAGTCGCAATAACTCCAGTGGAAAAAGAACACGTGACTGAATACAAATTAGTCTTGTGATTTTTATTATTTAAACTCAGTTGATAAAGTAGAAGTTAAACTACAAAAATCTCTATTTCCTGTTGATTTGCCATAGTTATTCAGTAATATGCAAATGGCTGGATAAATGGTTTATATACCTATATCGCTCTTATTATACTAAAACTTTTGTTATTCTAAATGCAAACTATAGTACTCGTAAGATACTTTCTCTTATTAACTTCTTGGCTAAGGAGTTGACTGATAACAGTCCTGTTATTTTGTCTTTAAGTTCTCTTAACATCAGGTTTTTCCATATTCTCCGTTTACCGTTATAATGTTAATGCCTTTGATTATTAAAAAAAATGGATGTCATATTCCAAAACACCTTAAGTAGAAATTATTAACAATAAGTGAAAATATTTGAGTGTTTTTGTATTATTTAAAACCTAACATATATTATTTTTAACCTATTTAATATTACTTTGTCAAACAGCATAAAAATTATTTCATAAATCAGTATTCAATCAACCAGTTCGTTTATAATTCAACCTAAATCCGTCAATAGTGGCCTAGGTACACAGCTGAGTTGATAAAAGATGCAATAAAAACTCGCCGGCACGAATCAGCTCTAACTGCCTACGGTACTGATAACGTGTTTTAACTATTTTATTCAAGAGATTACATTTCAAACAGATTTAAATTAGTCGATGGAAACGAAATTATTTTTACCACCAAACAACCAACTTGGACTTATGGTTATTATGATATGGTACGCCATTAATAGCACGAGGCATAATATTTTGGGAACGTCAAAAATTGTCATTATGCATTACGAAAAAAGTATAGAGGAGCGAATGCTAGCAATCTCTGTGCTACGGAATATTCCCAGTAATCAAAAAGTTAACATTTTTTCATGGCATGTCTATGACCTTACAAACGGTTCTTTAAAAAAATACTCTGCGTACCAAAGGTTTGTGATCCCTGCCATAGTCCATGGCGACTGTGCTTTCTGGCACCTTTTTATGCACCTGTTGCCCAAAGTTGTTGTTTTCTGTCATTTGAGCTGCAGCTGCTAAAAACAACTGCCTAAATCCATTCATATCAAAAATAAGCTAATAAAAGTTCAATAAAAAGACCAGTTTTTTTTAATTATATTTAGCACAACTCTGTGGTTTCTTTCTCGGAATTAATTTCAATACTAAGTTTTATGTCGAAACAAGTTTTGGGAAGGAATTCCTTCTGACAAGAGGTTGAAATTCCTTTTAACTTCTTACGTGTAGTTTGGGTTCCTATTATAAAATGACTAAATAATTGTTTTTACATTTCAGTAGAGATATTCCAATCCGACGTGTCTGTATGTGTGAATGTAGAAAAAGCGAGAGAGGTGTGTGGGGACTGCACCAAATGGGGATCCGTGATTTCTGCCTACCCCTCCAGGTTACAGACAATTTAGATATATCTCTACATTCTGTCAGCCATGAGACGCTGGGCATACGCCTCCCCGAAAGATCGCCACGATGACCTGTTTTGTGCCACCTGCATCCAGGACGCTCCCGCAACCTTGACCAGGTCAACGGTCTATCTTGCGGGAGGCCTGCATCTCATTGGGGTGGTCCTGATCTACACAGGTAGCCAGTCATTGAGGAGCTGGACTTAATTCCTCAACACAATGTGATCTACATTCTTTCTCTTATCTATCTCACTGTTATACATAAGTAAATCATATCGCTAGCAATAGCATTGTATGTTGTGTTAAAGACAGCTAAACATATGATAGAGACATATATAGGACTGATTTGCTGATAAAATGGCATTGTCGCGGCTCATGGGAAAGTCGTGACCTAGCCGCGTTTGAAGAGCTCGTAGGCAAGGCCCTAGCTCACAACATAACAGTATATGTTGTGTGCAATATATTCAATACTAGCTCCTTTAACTACGATTTGGTGAATAGAAAGATAATAAAAAACCAAAATTACACGCCGATGGAATATATTAAGGAAAGATATATGAATACTACTGCATACTTTTTGATATAAAATAAAGAATTCTTAAGTCATTCTTAATTTACTCGTACGAATAAATTAATTTATTAAAGGGACACTCATTAGTTCTTCATTCTTCATAAGAATAGATAATCTTCTGTTTCATTACTCAATGACTTCTTATTAAAATTATAATCATGACAAGGTTATTATTTAATGACCCATATAATACGACCTTTTAAACTACATATTTAATTAAGGAATAGTTGAATTCATGCATTAAATAGTTTAATTAGATTATTAATTGTATTAAAAGTAATATGTAGAAATTAACTTCACAAACATAATAGATTTATCCTAATTTCAATTGTTTATTTAAATTATCCATTTTCTCTGGAATTGAAGGAATTGAGTCATTTTGAACGAAGAAAAAATATGTATCTTTTAACATATCTAAAATTCTTTTTTTCCTATTTATTTGGAATTTGTAGTACCAATGTACATGAGTGTTTGTGTTTACGACTGTACAATTCAGGTCAAGTGGCTATTCCTGATTAATTGCTTCTGAACGAGAACCATTATACACTTGCCAAAGTAAATTACCTAATTGGTAGTGTAAACGTGGCGCTTCTTTATGTCCAAATATAAAAAAAAATGTAATACTGATACTGGAATAAAAATAAAAATTAATAATAGGTAGGTAAAATCCTGTAACGTTCATAATTTAGGCCAAGTATGTTTTTGCAGACCGAGATTTAAAAAAAAAGAAGTAACCAATAAAAAAGACCGTATGGTCATAGAAACTATCGAAAAAGAATGTTATTCATTTTAATATATAGTCTAACCTGTATTATCAAGACACTTAGACTTGGAGGAGACAAGCATCTAGCAATATTGGCTCTAGCTGTCTTGGTCTCCCGCTTATCCAGGTTCCACTGTATTTGATGCCGCTTTTGAACATGAGTCTCCTTAAAATGTTTTCCCGCTGCAATATATGAAGTTGCCTTAAATCACCGAAATAAAACGTTTATAATTATATTTGTTGCAGAAATATAAATAAGCATTAAACGTCATAGATAATGTCTCACCTTGGTGATTTTAGATTCATAATTATCTGTTATGTTTGTGGTGGCCATAATAAAATATTAATGTAGGTAAAAGACCTCGAAACTTTAATTGTCTAGGAATAGCGTATAATTAAAATAAACTAGAGCTCTTTACGTCCTAACTACATTGCATAGATGTTTTTGGAATGTTGTTTTTGAAAACTCTATAATTATTTGAGAAATGTCTAAGTAAATAACACCTATATCACTGAAAACCCTGTTTTGTCAAGCCTTAATAACAGTTAGGCTTGCATTGCCGTTTGTACAGTTAAATTATCAGTAGAGAACGAGATTCCGTTGCGGACGGACGCGTCGGCGTTGCAATTTGACCTCTAACTTTTTTAAATAATTTAAACAATTACGTCACTCGTTACGTTACACTGACTGAAAATAACTAACGCCGCGGTAAAAAAGCATGTGTGTGTGTTATCGTTTTGTGATTACATTATTAATTTTGCATAGATATACATGTTGACGTAGGTGTTTGTTTGGTGAAATAGTGACACTATGCGGTACAGATAACATTGAATTTTCTCGGTCTGCGGTTGCGGTTCGCTTTGAAAAGGTATTTTTTATTGATATCATGATTTTATTCTAAGGCACGATTCTGTTATTGTAAAGATTAAATTATATTAGTCAATTTACAGTATTTCTAAATTCTGAAGTAGTAAAGATTATTAAAAATTATATTTTAAGAATATGCACGAATTAAAACTGTCTTTTATATTTATTTTCCGTTATGTTATATATATAGTTACTTACTTTAAATCTTTGACAACCCTGGAGTATCAGCAACAGGTTTTATAATTATGTTACAAGACGCTCCGAGCTTAGAGACGATCTCTGTGTTACATTAAATAAAAAACATGTAATTCTCAGAAAGTATGGTAATAATGAATTTCTCGCAACAGCCAGTTTGACTAAAACACTTAAATCTTTCTGTTACGTTCTTTAGATTAATATAAAATTTAAAATCTCTATTTTTTTTATTCCAGACAACACAAATGTGCTACAATGCAGACAGCGAGAGAGTCAAGTCGACAAAAGCGAAGCATCAAAAGACGCAACTCTAGAAAGAAATCATTATCACCGTCAGATTTAAAATGCACACGTGGGGACCTGAAGTCAGACAGCAAATCGAACGTCAACCGATCATTATCCGAAGCGTCAGTAAAGAGACATAGACGAAGTAACATTCAGAGGACTTTAACCCATCCGTTGTCGTACATGGATGAGATAGACAATGTTAATATTGAAGCGTTCAGTAGAAGTAAGGTGGAGGTCCCACCGGAGAGTGATGAATCGAATTTACCTCCGACTAGTAGTGATAGGGATACGGAGGATGATGTGAGAGTGATGGATATAAAAAGAGCGGTGCCTCAAAGGCCGCGGTGGGACTCCGGAAGTGAGATGGATTCACTTATATCCATCGCAGTGAGGAAAGCCTCGGCACGGCGACGTCGAACGCCCGCAAACCCTGGTAAGTCTTAAACACTTTATTTGTTTTAAAAAAATATTTTACCGCTATTTTATATGGCGACTATTTAACATTGTCACTGTTAGATAAAAATCAAAATACATGACCCAAGTCTTACCTTATAAGACGTAGCGCTAACGTGACAATATTAGCAATAAAGTTCGAGTACACAATGAGATCATTCAACTGTAATAGAAAAAAACAAATACAAATTGCAGTAGTCATAATAATATGTAATAGATTAGCTAAATAAAAAGTTTTATATCAACATTCGAATGAAAAAAAATGAAAAAATCTTTATTGTTATACACAAGAAATTCAAATTCAATGTTGCCTTGACTCCTTAACTAGGAAGACCTGTACTTAAGGAGAAAAGGACTTCCCATATATATAAATTTAATAATTGTTTGTGTAGAAAAACAACTAATTTATGAATTAATAATTATAGTGTGTGTGTGTGTGTAGGTGTGTGTGCGTTTGTTTGCGTGTGTGTGTGTGTGTGTGTGGGTGTGTGTGTGTGTGTATAATTATAAGTGCATATGGATGTGATGACTTAGTTATTACGTTGAAATAAATTTTCACATGTGTTATAATCTAACTCCATCAGCCATTCCTTTGTAATTTTTCTTAAATTATACGCTTTCAGGTTTTTTATATTGGACTTTTTATCTAAAATATTATATAAGTAGGGTGCAAGGAATTTAAAATGTTTTGTGGCAAATGTACTTTTAACAGTAGGTAAATTAAATCTATGAATTCTCTTACTATTTGTAGTTGTATTACTATCTTTATTTTTATGAAGGGCCTTGACGCATTCAAATATGAAAGTTTTACGAATACTCAAAATATTATGTTTGTTATAAAGTTCGTCGGTGGGATGTTTGAAAGGCAACCTAAACATCACTTTTAAGAGAGCACGTTGGGCACGTTCTGCTTCTAAGATACAAGTTTTGGAAGCACCACCCCAAGAACATATGCAGTAGTTAATTAAACACTCACAGAGAGCTTTGTATGTTTTAGTTAGTAGGACATAATCAGCAACCGCTCGTAGTTTTCTAAATATGAAAATAAGTTTTCTGATCCGCTTAGCCACTGTATTTACATGGTGTTTCCAGTTGAGATTTTCATCAAGCGTGACACCAAGATACTTGAATGTATTCGTGCGTTCAATTATTGAGCATATACAATTCTGCCTATGTGATGGCTGCCTGTTACAAGGGGCTTCGTGTATTGTTATAGAAAAATTATTTGGCGGTTTAGATCGCGATGTTTTATAAAACGAGACGTATTTAGTTTTGGTGATGTTGAGAGTGAGTAAGTTATTTTCTAGCCACCTTGTAACAGTAGCCAGGCCCTTTTCTGCAGCATCTTTTAGTGTTTCCCATGAATTTTCGTGGAACAGAATGACGGTGTCATCTGCAAACATTAGTAAGTCTGCTTTTTGAAGGCTCATTTTACATAAATCATTTATATAAATTAGGAACAGAGTAGGCCCAAGCGTACTGCCTTGCGGGATACCATAAGAAGCACTAGCGAAGTCACTGGTCACAGATCCAACTCTTACTTTCTGTTTTCTGTTTGTCAGATAGTCACTGAACCATGACAAGACTGTTCCTCTTATTCCATAGTTTTCTAACTTTGTTAGGAGGACCTTCACAGAAACAGTGTCAAAAGCTTTCTGTAGGTCAAGAAAGACTCCTATACATTTTTCTCCATTTTCTAAATGGTCTGTAATTTTCCGAGTAATTTGGAGTACGGCATCATTCGTTGATCGACTTGTCCTAAACCCAAATTGATTATTTGCTAGGAAGTTGTGTTTCTCCATGTACGATATAAGTCTTCTATTTACAACCTTCTCGATTATTTTTGATAGTGTACACAGTAAAGAAATTGGCCGATAATTGGACGGACTTAGCTTATCCCCTGATTTATGAATTGGGACTATCATTGATTCTTTAAATGTTTCTGGGAATTGACCGGTTTGAATATATATATTAGTAATCGATTCGAATTTCGCTAGTATTCAATTATCGATTCGAGTTGGAAATCGAACATGAATATTCAATTCGGAACAATTCTAAACACAAATTATTCGTCCAGCCCTATTTACGAAAATAAAAGAATAACCATGATTAAACGGAAGTAGGTTCTGCGTACTGATCCAATTAATATTTGTAATATACGAGTGTTTATGATTCGAGTATGTGCGAGGTAATATTTTGAAATTGTTGTGTTCACTTGCTACTTGAAGGTTACAGAATATAAAAATACATTCTATATAACAAATTTACGAAGTCTTTTTAATAAAATGCATAAAATTTAATTTAATGTAGTATTACGAAATATTTTGTATATACAACATTATAATTGGCACATCTATCTGTTTGGATGATGGTGAATATATCTAAAAGTATCTTACAGATTTTATTAATGCCGAAAAAAGTTATTCATAGTAGATTCTTTGACATTTACATAGTTTACGCAGTTAATCTTACTAATATAATAAATGCGAATCCCAAAGGTCTCTCCAAACCGACTCAACGATGTCATTTGGCATGGATGTACAACATACTCTTAAAGAACACATAGGCTACTCATTATGTTTTGTTTATTCCTTGCAGACAGATTCACTAGCGACAGCAAATATTAAATTAACTAGGAGTATTGGAAGAAGTAACGGTATTGACTAAAGTAATGTAACAGCAGACATAAGCACTTCAAAAATGGCATCGTACGTTCTTGTCTGACATTATCACTTCCGCGTAATGTTAGCAAACAGTACCGCACATGGCCCCGCGATAGCTGCACTCGTGTAAACAGACATTGCGTTCAAACATTAACCAGCTACAGTCTTCGTTCCTCATATGTGATCATAGCTGTTCACTTTGAAACATTTTAATTCTTAAGACTTTACTCAGTGGCTCTATGCCCATTAGTGTAATAATTACTACGCTATATCACGATAAAAATCCTATACTTAAAACCCATCATGTTAGGATCTTGTAGCAATCTATAATACGACACTAATACGTAAACCACATTAATGCGCAAAATATTGAGACACGACAAAAAGATATGAATCTAAAATTAATGTCAAATGACCTTTTCTTAATGCATTTTAGTTAGAACGGCTATACCTAGTAGGTAATCAACTTATTACGATTTATTTAGTTATCTTTTTTTAATTGCTTCAAATTAGGTCATTCCCGTGTAAAAAACTATTAGCAGATTACAATTTAATAGAATCATTCAGAAATCGTAAAAAAATTAATTCTCTTTCTATTAATGAATTAAGTTAAATATTTATTTATTAAAAAAAATGCTATGAAAACATTAAACTGCGGCTTATCTTAGTGGAAATAGGATCTAAGATCGAGTCGGAAATGCCAGTAGATGTATAAGTATGTACCGATTCAAAGAACTCGCCGCAGTGTCAGGGCTTTACCGTTAACCTCACTGTTACCTCATAAACCGGAAACCGCACCATAGTGTCACAGTTTTTATTTATTTAGATAAGAAGTTTGACTTTGAATTACTTTATTGTAAAGGCATAAGGAGAAACTTGTTATTAAAATTAAGAAGTACCTTAAAATTTAAATCATGCTTTTTTATTAGTTCTAACTTATTATTATTTTAAACATATTTTATTTTTTTAATATATATATAATCTTATATCTTAATTATAATCCTCTTTTAATAATCCGTAGCGCCATCTGTCATATGAACTAAGTAACATGACTTTAATACAGACGCTTGTGTTTTGTTGAGTTGCGGTTCTCCGCATATAGAGGGCGTAAATCTTGTTATAATTACCTTTATTAATTGTATTTTTAATCAGTACCTAAAACATAATTAATATCTTTACTAAAGGCCCGTAAATATTTTGACACGAGATTAAATTACTATATACACCAATTTAACTAAATGTATTTTAAAGGTATCTTCAACGTGTTTTATTTCACTTCCACAGCATTAGTAATATTAAACCCCAATGGTATATTAAATTTTGTTCGAAGTCCATTATTATATACTCTAAGTATATAGGAATATTAAAAAAATAGATTAAATATTATACTTTAATATTTAGACCAAAGTAATAAGATTATATATAAAGATATAAGCTGCTTTAACAATTAGCACTGCTTACTTTACTTGTACTACAAAATAAGACCTGTTAAACGCCTTTTAAATGCCAATCCATTTATACACAATCAATCAAATGTATACCTTATGTTCATTGCATAGATTTCAGTTTTAAATAACATGGTTTATATGTCGTTACCCACGGGTATATCACAGAGGAAGTCACATCCTGTGCAACCACGCGTGGCTTGAAAATAACGAGTGGCTGTAACACAAGGTTTATAAACTGTGGGGGCAAATAAACGGAATCGCTATGATCGTATATATACGTAAAATGATCAACGCCTTTGGACCATGGCAGTAAAACAATTGCAAATTCTCATTATTATTTACACATAGATAGAACCGTGGATTTCTGAGACCAAAATCTCAGTATAAAAAATGTTATCATCATCCCTGTCATTATCTTCGTCAAAACAAAGATAACAATATATACCAAATAAAAAACTACCACAATATTAAATAAAGCAATCTTATTATTAAGTTAATTTGTATTAGACATTTATTTTTTGTTTCTCATTAACATCCGATGCAAAAAACGTATTCATTGGACCGGACTGAATGGTGGTGATATCGCGATCACTCGTTGATGTCTTTTTCTCTTGAAATGTAATGACGCACGACTCTCGATTCTTTGTAATTAAGGTGCATTATGAGAAATATTAATATGAATGTGATTAATTTAGGTATTCACAATAATTAGACAAGATTATACATACCGTGCATTCTCACTACCAAAATAAAAAATTAAATTTAGATAAAACGCAATTGGCAACGCATCTGTAATTTTAGACGTCTATGGCCAGTGGCCGCTTCGCCATTTCGGCTTATTCATTTGTCACCTTATGTTATCAATATAA